GGGCTCCTCGTCCGCCCGGAGGCTCAGCGCCCGGGAGTGGACGCCGGACCGACGCGCCGGTGTCCTAGCGAGCTCGGAATGCGCGAGCTGTTATCTTCGCCCGGGTCTTGGCCAAGTGGCCCACCGCCGTTGCTTCTGCATAAGCGTTTTGTCTTTCAGCTAAAATAACAAAAAACAAACAAACAAACAAAAAAACACAGAGGAAAGGCTGTCTGCCCGGGATAGCCACGCCAGTTGTCACGACGTGCAATTTGAGTCCATTTCCACATCTTTTATGCGCAAAGCATTTTGCTGAGAACTGTTGTACGTGTAATGGGTTCGCAAAAATGTATTGCTCTTTGAAGAAAAAAAAATGCAGATTTCAATCGATATAGTTGTTGGCCGGACAGGTGTTTACTTTTCAAAATTGAGCTCTTTTAAGCCCTATCCTTACTCCTTACGTTGATTGCTTACAAATTCTGTGCTAGGTGCAAAAGGGAATGCAAAATGTAAAAAAAGGATCCGTACCTCAAGGAGCTCAGGGTATTTGCTATAAAGTTGGCTACATAACACAGACTAAAGACTGTTAAAGTTAGTAGATCTGACATTTACACTTAACTAAAGGTAGACACCTGTATTTTTCCCTACTTTATCCCAACTCTCACAAGTCAGGCGTATAAGTGTTTATTAATAAGTGATTATAGAATGGCTGTTTTTTTCCTTAAATATATCCTTACATGTAATTTACACATTTATGGATTTTTTAAAAAAATAAACGCAAGTGCACAATATGGTTCATTCATATTTCACTTGGGATTTATTGATTCCCACAATTTTCTACAAAGCCACTTGTGCTTATACTGTTTTCTTTTTCTCCCTTTAAATTACTCTATATGTTATTTATTAAGTTCATCCTGTAATTATCTGCCCATTTCTACAGCTTGTCAAGGTTATTAGTAATCACTGTGGCTCTTTAAACTCTCTCCAAGATTGCCAGTTCTCAAGTTGTAGTGCTCAGAATTTGACCCAAGTTGTGCAACAAAGTCCCAAGCTGGTATTCAAATTGTCCGAGTGATCTCATGTAATTCTTTCGACTTTATAGAATAAAGGTATAAACCTTCCATTCTGTGAATTAGGAGTTGGCCACTAACAGTTCTGGAATGGAAATGTTTTAATTTAGAATCACTTTTGGTTCATTCAAGAATTGGATGACAGTTATACCCTGGATCAGGCTCCACCTTGGTGTTATCACTGCATCACTTCACTGTTTCATTTATTGTGAAACCAGAGCAAGTGGGATAACTGGAATAACAAGAAATAGAACTGAAGATTGAAAGTATATTCTTCCCACCCAAATTTTTCTGTAGTATTAAAGAAAAGCAACAAGTTGAAGCCTTCACTAAGAAACATCTTCTAACAAAGAGTTAAGAGAAACTAACATGTTAGCAGTAGCTCTGTTTATAAATCTGTGTTCATTCCACCCCCTATATTTTTTTTAACTCAAAACAATAGTGTTATTAATTAACACTGGAGTTCCTAAAGTTTAAGTAGCTAAGCATATTAGCCCTCTCCTTATTTTCTAGAATCACTAGTGTTTTGGGATGTGGTCTCTCTGTGTTACCCAAGCTATCTTGGATCACACAGTCCTCCTGCCTCAGCATCCCAAGTAACTGGGACTACAGGCACACACCACTGCACCTAACTTTAAACTCACCTTTTCTTAACAGAAATATAGCACCTTCCTAACAGGGTAAACTGTACATTCTGCGTTTGTGAAGAAAAGAGAGTAAAGGAAAAGGAAACATGAAAGGAATTTTAGTCTGCCAGGACATTTGAAATCATGAGATAAATAGCTTTAGCTAACTTCATTCACACCTCAAACCCAAGACCTAGCCTTGTAGCCATTCCAGTACCAGAAGTTGAAGTCTATAGAGTCCTGCCAAGAAGTTTTGTTGAAGCACAACTTATGCCCAGTTGGAAGAACCTTGAGGACCAGTTCAGAGATTCAAGTATATGGTGGATGAGTAGCCTGGTATAAAAGAGTGACATGGATTGTTTCCAGAACAAAGGGTGATTCCTATAGGGCTTTAAAAGACACAAAATTTTAAATCTTCAACTCAACTAGAGTTAGAGTTAAACTGGGATAGAATCAAACTTGACTTTGAGATAACATGGTAGGCCGTGTTGTGGAGAAATTCAACCCAAGGCACTCACCTGCCTTTGGGCACACGAATAGTCACACAGAATGAACAAGTTATGTCAGATCTCTATCTTCAGGAAGATAACTGAAAACCTTTGACACAGGTAGAATGTTCCCCTTTAGGGAAGGATGTAGAAATATTTTTTTGTTGCTAACAGGTATAAAATTTTCACCTGTATTCATTTAACATAGGTGTTCCTGAAGTGGTACAAATAACTTTTGGGAGTGTGTGTGGTAATGCTGGGGATTGTATCCAGGGTCTTTGCACTGAGCTACACTTCTTTCTATTTTACTTTGGGGCAGAGTCTTGCTAAGTCACTAACTTGTCCAGGTTTGGCTCTAACTTGCAGTCCTGCTCAGCCTCCCAGAGTGCATGTGCCACCATGTCATGGTACAAATTTCTTTTTCCTTTTTTTTTTTTTAACAAACTTCTTATATCTGATGCTTAATGCTTTAAAGCATAGTACATGGGGAATAAACTTGGTGCCTTTGTAAATCAAAGCAAGGCAGGTAATGATCAATATAACTTTTTCAAATAATCCTTTTCTCCTTACATGTCCAATGTGGAAAGTTTCTTCCTGCATCATCGTTTTGCTGCTGTTCATTCCAACCCTTTAATTGTGTGCAGTCACAGCACTGTCCTGTGCCATTGGGTTCAGTAAAACACACTGAGGAGTAGGAATGCAGGAATAGATGGGGAGCAAAGTAATAAAGCAAAATATTTTACATCAAGAAAGAGTGTTAGAAGAATTAAGAGAAACTAGCCATCATGGAAATAATGTGCCCAGCAATTTGATAAGACTAAATACTCTGGGAGACCGTGGCAGGAGAACTACAAATTCAAGCCCAGCCTGGGCAATTTAGTGACTTGGCAAGAACCTATCTCAAAAAAAAAATTTCTTTTTTAAAGCAGGCAGGGAGCTGGGGATGAAGCTCAGTGCAAAGGCCCTGGGATTAATCCCCAGTACCACAACAAAAGGAGTGAGGTAACTGAGCCAGAAATGTAAATCTCAACAACTGATTGGCTTCTGTATACTGTCCCAGAGGCAACATTTAACTTTTTCTCACAGTTATCATTACCTTCAAAACCCAGTAAACATGGGAATCAAAAATAACAGATTTAACTTGGAGAAACATTTTGTCCTCACCTTTCAATTTATATTCATGACCACAGCTGCTTTATTTTCTTGTACAAGTACTAAGTCCTCCCCAGAGTGGTAAAAAAGGCCTACTCTGAAATTGTGGAGTGACTGGGAAAGTCTCCTTCCCTCTGGTTCTGAATTAGGACACTATTGACTCTTCCCCCAGCAGCTAGAAATGGAAATAACAGGTAGGCAGAGTGTTTGAAAAATAACTGGTAAGGTCGAGTCACTCGTATTTTATTACCCTATGAATAGGATGCAAAATGCCTTTTCAGCAAGTTAGCTAGTTCTACCAAATAAAGAATAGTTAGGCTTTGAGATCTACTCCCTTAAACCAACCCCAGTGCAAGAGTGATGGCATAATCAACTGCTACTATACAGAGTGCTGTTCTCGACCCAGTCCTGGACTCAAACTGTTACTGATCTTCAACAACGTAAGTATGGATGTTGACAAAAACTGCTTAGAATGTTTTGTAGAAATTTGGCAGAATAAATTTATGTTTATTGAAAGTACTAGGCCGGGTGTGGTGGTGCACACCTGTAATCCCAGCACTCAGGAGGCTGAGGCAGGAGGATTGCTGTGAGTTCGAGATCAGCCTGGGCTACATAGTGAGTTCCAGGT